TCTTTATCGAATGTTGACAACTATAAAGTTTAAATTATACACCGCGTGAAGATAAATATTTATATCTACTCCTACATTGAAGAGCTGTGACTTTATGGTGTTTTAGTCACGGGCTGAAGTTAACAACAGTGGCTTTTGGGCATTTTAGTCACGGGCTGAAGTTAGCGTTATTAAAAATTGCAAAAAAGTGAGGTTAAATTTGTCAAATGTCATAAGTATTTATAAATTAAAATTGGCTTTAAATTCTCATTTCTGTTCGTCGTAGATAAAGTATAGTATGCAACTCGTTTTATAAACATCTCTAGGCACTCGTTTTTTATTAAACACTCGCTCGCAAGCGTTTATAAAACTTGATACATAATTTACTATTATTTTCATTATTTCTTAGTACTGAATTTAAAAAACATTTAATTACCTACAAAATCGTATATATAACAAAACAAAACAATTAGAAAATAGCTTTTATTCGAGTATTACTAACCCATAAATGTCGTTACATAAATCAAAAAATCCGCTTTTAGACCATTTGGTCTGAATTGTTTGCAATGACTTAGTTTTTGTATTGTTGAAACCCAGTGGCGCGTACAGGGAGCGTCAATTGAGGAAGTTGACATCATAGATTTGTTAAATTAATTGTTTTACGCCCTAGTTTTTTTATATCTAAATTAAACAATTTTTTTTCTATTTTTAGTGTTGTTATTAACCCTAGTAACTACACTGATCAGATTTGTTAAGTTAATTTTATTTTGTAAAATTTGTTTTATTATATTATTTCAACAAACAAAAATATTTTACCGAAAGTTTTGTAAAGGTAATATGTATTTTTAATGTTTAACAAATTACTTCGTTGAAAAAGTACAAGTGATTTTAGGCAGTCAATCAAAACATTTTCCACAACAATACGTATCAACAAGTTCAACTGACTTCAGCGTCTGCAACTTATGTTTCTGCTTACTTCTAATTCTAATTTGTAACGTGTTTGTAACAACTTTCCAGAGTGTTTATAATATATAACCAGAAATATGATAATTATATTGTACCAAATTTCTTCATAATTTGATGATTTAAAATAGGTAGTTGGAACATTTTCAAATGTGTTCTTAAGTCCTTTTGACATTCTCAAATGTGTTTTGGACATTCTAGAATGTGTTTTTATAATTATAAAATGTGCTTTTAGAAATTTATAGTTGTAACATTTTCAAATGTGTTTTTAAGTACGTTTGACATTCTAGAATGTATTTTGGACATTTAAGAATATTTTTTTGAAATTCTAAATTGTGTTTTTAAGTACTTTTGACATTCTCAAATGTGTTTTGGACATTCTAGAATGTGTTTTTTAATTTTAAAATGTGCTTTTAGAAATTTATAGTTGGAACATTTTCAAATGTGTTCTTAAGTACGTTTGAAATTCTAGAATGTATTCTGGACTATTTAAAATATTTTTTTGACATTCCAAAATGTGTTTTTTTATTTTAAAATGTGCTTTTTGAAATTATTGGTTGTAACATTCTAAAATGTGTTCTTAAGTACTTTTGACATTCTCAAAAAAATTATTCTGAAGGTACTCCAGATTTTTAAATTAAATTTTAACAATTAAAAAAAAATCCTAAAAAAATAGAAAAAACTCGAGGATTTTTCTTACTTTTTTAATATCCTGAAGGTACTCCCAAAAATTTAGATTTGTAAATTTTTAACCTGAGCACCGACCAACTTTTTAAAAAAAACTAGTTCTAAAAAAGTGTGAAAAACTCATAATTAAAAAAAAAATCGAGGTTTTTCCTTACTTTTATTCTTCTAAATGTACTTTCAAAGTTTTACATTTTTTAATTAATTTTCAACCTGAGCCCTGACCACTTTTTAAAAAAATTGCTAATAACGTCAATATTAAAAAAATAGTTTAAATCAGGACCAAATATGCAAATATGCAGAACCAGGACAAAACCATGCAGTACACAATTAAAACCAGAACATTAGTAAAAACCAGAACCTGTCCTGGGTAAAAAGGTTTGTAAAAATAAGGTCTTTTTTGAAAATTGCAAGATTTATGGTTAAATTATTGACATGCTTTGTCATTAAATCTACAAAATGTCTGTAATAATTACAAACTAATTATTCAATTAGTTAACAGATTACACTTGGTTGTAAACTTAACATAAAGTTATGTGAACATGGATTAACATAAAATCTGGTTAAAATTTGTTTAAAATTAAAAATATTTTGTACTGCGTACATGGACGTTTTGTATAATTACTGGTTTTCTCTATTATTATAGAGGGTGATACGGCTTTAGTGTTATAATAAAACTCCCTTGACAATAAAAATATATTGACAATCGTAAAAAATTATACGTTTATGTCTCCGGAAAATGTCAGGCCATAAAAGACTTCATTTTGTCTCCAAACAAATGTCTTGAGGGTTGTAATAAAGAAAAATGTAAGCTACATTCTATCCTATATTATTTTGTTATAAGAATGAAACAATTTGGGTTGGTTTTGAAATATTTTTAACTATGATGATATGCCAATATATTTTTTAAACTTTAGTTACTACATACAACCCTTTGAGTGTACGGCTTCAACTCTAAAAATTGCACGAATCGACTAATATTGCTTAAGCTCAGTGACATTGGCAAAGGGATTGATTGAATCCCGTCTGCGGAGCCTAATGGACGTGATTATGCCGGAGGGGATGTTTGTTGAAGGGCCGCAAGATGAATGGGGGTAAACACTGTGCGAAAGGAAAGAATTGACAAGTGGATCCAATTCAATTACCATGCAGGATTAACACCAATCTGTGTTTATCCTCAAGACCGATATTTTACACTGAATTTGATATGGTTTTATTTTTGATTTATTACACAGTAAATAAATATTAATATATATTTTTTAATATATTGAGATGTCCCCCAAGTGAAAATTATTATTTTTTATTTTTGGTTGTTTCACTGTTAGTATAGAATGGGGTTTTTGGGAAGCCACCAGGTCTAGTAATAACATAACATAAGTGCTTCTGCACTTATGCAAGAATTTTAAGATATTATACATTTTGAATATTAGAGCTTCACGGAAGATAGGTTCACGGAGGTTAGGTTTTTTTTAAACCTATGCTTATTAAAACAAAATAAAACTTTCAATATCTTTATTGTTCAATATTCAATAATTTAATTTTAATATTTATTGTTTAAAATAAAAATCAATGTTCAAAATTTTATATAATTCAATAAAATGAAGAAAAAACGTAAAAATTCTCGATAAACTGAGTTTTGCTCTTCCACTGAAAAATTCATAACTTCGCCATTTATCCATGGATTTTTATGAACAGCAGCTTATTTTTTTCCTTTAATATATCTAAAATATATCTTATCTTTTCGATTTATATCTTTCCCAGAAATATATGTAAATTTTCGACCTCGATTTAAAAAAAAAGGACTTTTTCAACTTCATAAAATCGCCAGTATCAAACTACTGATACCAAAACTATACAAAAGAAAGTTGTGGAGGGCTCAATTGCCTTTGATTTAAGTGCTTGTTTGGTCAAATCGATCAAATTTACTTCGAAATATACTCTGAAACGTCAATACAACTTAGACAGTTAAAAAAACAATTGAATTCTTATTTTTAATGGCTTTATAAACCATTGTTTATAATATTAAAAAATCTCAAAAAATACACGAAGAATATCCAAATAACTTATTTACCACATATAAAAACACTGTTTACAGAGAAACTAAACCAAAACTCATATTCGGCACGTGCAGCGATAACGTACTTTTGTCACACTATGACGTCAGAGAATATAAAAAGGAATATAAAGATGAGCGTGGACATACCTTGTTGTCTTAGTACTAGGGTTGGGAAAATTTCACTTTTTGCTTGTACTTGAAATTTCACTTGAAATTTTCATGACATTTATAAAATTTATTAAAATTTCCTAAATTTCTGAAATTTCATGAAATTTATGAAATTTAATGAAACTTTCAATAAAATTCAATCACTTTAAGTGTAATATATTAATATTGAAATAAGCCCACTCGGTGACCATGGCAAATTGCCTCTCTTACCTCCTACCCCTCTGTGGGCCCCTGCACCAATAATATAAATAGTAAATACCTATGTTTACCACAAATTTCTTGAGATTTCCTTTTAAAATATTTTTAAAATTACTAAAACTAAAAGAGATATAGGACTTTTTGGTAAGCTAATGAGATTGTGCCACTTGTTTTAAATTTATATATATTTATTATTTTTAAATATTTTACTGAAATTTTACGAAAATTGAAGAAACTTCATCAAAATTTTATGAGCCAAAGGCATTTTTTATTCGTTTTCCGATGCAATTATAGCAAAAGTAAAAGTTTAAATTAATCATGACTTTTAAAAAAATTTTAAAGTCTGATTTAATTTACAAATTAAATTGGTAACTGAATTAAATTATTTAAATTAGTTTATGCATATAAGTAACAATAATTACTTATAGTGTATTCAAATACAAGCCGAACTAAACAAAAACGCCCAGACGCTTGATAACTCGTTCTTATTGGTCGATTCGGAATCTGTTGTAAATTATTATTAAAGGTCCCTGGGGAGGCCGCATGTGAAATTTATGCGAAATTTTCAGTAAATTGCGAAACTTTCAATGAAATTTCTGAAAGTTTCACAGGCTTTGTTGAAATTTTCGGATCGAAAATTTCATTTGAAATTTTTAAAAATTTCACTTTTCCAACTAAATGATATATTTCAAATTTGAAACTTTCAAAGTTAAAATTTTCATTTGAAAATCAACTGTCCCAACCCTACTTAGTGCCTATTTTTCTAATAGGAAATATGAAATAATTTTAAGTCACTCTGTATAATATTTAAATAAATTGTTAATAGAGGTTGTTTTTAATTAATTTTTTTATTAATGCAAACCACAAATGGAGTAAAAAATGTTGGTAAGTAAGCAAGCAAAAGAAAAAAGGCCGGTTGGCAAATAAGTAACCGAACGTCTCTAACAGATATTTATAATTCCATTTTCCTTTTTGCTAATAAAAGATCTAAAGCTGGAAGCCAAATTAAAATTGCCAGAGCAGAGGCCCCAATTCCCCGGCCCCGTATTTCTCTTTGTGCGAATCTTTTCCATTCAACCTTCCATACATTTTTCAGTGCTCGGCTTCGGTGGCCTCGAGACGAGAAAATCTCCCGACCATGCTGAATTATTAATGTTAACGTGGCTAATCTGGGCTCGGCTCAACTCCGAACATCTTCTTTTTCAAATATAAAACTTGCTCAGCCACCACTTCTTTGATAAAATGATCACGTTCCGCAAGTTGTTTTAATTTTTTTTCGGCTTTTATTATTTATCAGGAATTTGCTTTTCGAACATACCTTGAGTGATTTTCTTTTCAAGGATTTAAAGGATCTTTATCCTGATGGCTTCGTTAGAATATTCAAGGATTCCTTTCTTTGTACCTATTGATTTTTTTTAAATTATGTTATTTTTTTTATTTTATATTTCTAGGAGGTCAACCGATCATTTTAAGCCCAAATTAAAATAGGTTGTAGGTCATACCTTCGAGGAAATTTAATTTAAATTTTTTTTACAAATTTTTGAATATTTTTTTAGTTTTGCCTCTAAAAACTTTAAATTTTAGTATATTACATTTTGGTGAAAAATATTTATTTATAAACCACCTAAATTATAATATGCTCCAATAAATAATTATTTTCTTCAGCAAAAATAATTTATCAGGACTGTATTTTCATTTTAAGTAAAATTATAAAAGTTGTGTTATTAATTTTAAAGTTGTTTTTATTGAACTAATATTATCTATATAAAGTATACTTAAATATATTTAAATTTTACTAAAAGTTGTTTTAGCTTAAGTAAAAGCAATCTTATTAGCTAACATTTGACTTAAACTTAATTTAAGGGAGACTAATCTAAGCCTAACTTAAACCTATATAATGAAGACTAAGGCCCGGGTTTATCATCTCTAGTTAAAATTAAATTGCTACTTAATTGGTAGTTAATTTGTTTTTGTGTTTTACAATTGGTAGTTATTTATTAAAGTGCAGATTATGTTTGAGTTTCCGTAACTACGACTTCTTGTATTAGTAAAGTTGTGGTTAACCTAAAAATACATTTAATATTGTGATAATTTTAAATATGAATTTATTATTAAAATTTTTTTTCAACAGGAAGAAATGTGAAAAAAATATGGAAAACTATAGATGAAATAATTTATATTAACTAAAAATACAAATAATAAGATAGGCAGACTAAAATACAAAAATAATGAATACACTGAGAGTAAAGAAATATCTAATATCTATAATACATTCTGTACTGAAGTTGCTAAAGAACTGCAAAAAGATATAAAAATACCTGATATAACATTTAAAGAAGTTTCAAATAATAAAACTATTTTTATGTCCCCTTGTACAATGAGTGAATTAGGAAAAGTTATCGCATCTTTGAACTATAGTAACTCATTTGATGGTAATATTACTACTAAAGATATTAAAGAGATTTATCCTAACATAAAAGAAACCTTACTCAGATGTATAAATAACATCTTTTAATTTTCCTGAAATATGTAAAATATCTACTTCCTATATACAAAAAAGTAAAGAAGATCCAGGATACTACCTTCCAATATCTATTACTTCTATTTTCTCTAAAATTATTGTTTTCTTACTACCTCGACTCAAAATACGTTGTTTCGTCCCCGATTCCACGGCAGAAAGTTTACGTTTCTTGCATTGGTCAAGCTATACGCGCACACTCTAATAGCGGGAGTAAAAATTTTTTAGTCGTGTGCTTAACATTCAAATTTCGTACTGCCAACATGAGAAACACAAAAATATGACAGTTTTAAACCATAATTTTGCAATTATAACAACAAATAAACAATTTATGTTTTTACTTTTTTACTTTTTATGTTGTTTTAAGTGTTTAATGGTACTTGTATTTGTTATAAAGTAGTAATTTGTTAATTAAAATACAACGTTTTATTTTTACTGCATTGGCACCGCTGAATTCACGGCCTACTGTTATTTATTTATCAAGCTCTTCAAATGGAAATAGGTACATAAATACACATTTAATTTTTTCCCGTATTTTCGGCCGGGTTGTATTTTCGGCCGAGGTAGTAAGAAAAATAGTATACACTACACGGGCAGAAAGTGTGAGAGTCCTGAACTGCGCGCCATGATGCCCTCGGCTTCGCCTCGGGCATCATGGCGCGCAGTGCAGGAATCTCACACTTTCTGCCCTTGTAGTGTAATATACTATTAAAAAATAATTTTTATTATGAAAAAACACATTGATTTTTTTTATATTGCATATGCTGTTTAAAGTATGGCCAACCTATAAAATTTTGAGTGGGATAAAGTATCTCATTACAGCACCGAAAGCGGTGTTATAATGAATTCATTATGAACGCAAAATAGATAAATATACATATATATTTTAAACAAAAATTAATAATATCGATATAGTGTTCGCACTTTTGGGTTAATATTATTTATGATATATTTTTCATATCTTTTTGTAAATTTTAAAAATATAGAATTTGAAAATATTGAAAATTTTGGAAAATTTGAATTATTTTGAGACCTGACATATGTCAAAAGTAATAACGAAGTTATAACGATTTTTGGTTTTAAAAGGTTTTTAGTTTTTTGAAATATTTTGAGAAGCGCTGGATATTTTTCTAATTTTTAAATTTTTTTTTAATAGCCTTTCTCTGTAATTTCACCAACCTTGTAACTCCTCAAATATAAAAAAATACACATAGAAGTATACTTGGAGCACCCTGTATACACTGTTAAAAATTTCCATCACAATTTTACAAAAAATGTATGGGAAGCTAACTCTCTAAAAAAGAATTAGTCAAAAATGACTAATTTAATAGTTATTGGTGGCTGCTTTTTCATTTGTACCATGGTTAACCATGGAATACCATGGTATCCCAAAATTGAACAGACAATTCTTATGTAAAATTGTCCCCTGAATCCAAAAATGTCGTCAAAAGTTAAAAAAGTAGAACAGTTTTTGAGATATAGTCAATTTTCCATTTAATATGAAATTGACTATATCTCAAAAACTGCTTCACTTTCATAATTTTTGACGGTATTTTTAGATTCAGGGAATAATTTTACATAAGAATTGGCTGTTAAATTTTTGGGATACCATGATATTTCATGGTTAATCATGGTACAAGTGAAAAAGCTGCCACTAAAACTATTAAATTAGTCATTTTTAACTAATTCGTTGTTAGAGAGAAGAGGCAAAACATCTAGCCATATTTCATATCGGGTATAGTAATTATATAATTATACAAAACTTTTTGATTTGTATTGTTTTGGAATATTACAAAATAAGTATAGTATTATTACCAAATATTTTTAGAGATAGTTTCTCAATTTAACATTATTATTACGAGTTTTGTAATTTTAGAATACCAATCTTATTTAATAAATTTAGTTATATGAAAACAAAGTATTGCAATTTAACAAAACTTATAAGGCTCCATCAGTTCAACAATAATGTTAAACAGTTTTGTAATTTTACAAGTAATTTTAGATCAGTTTATTTTGGAAAATAACAATCAGGTTACAAAATTTTACTAAACGTACAACAAGTTTATTTAAACGTATTATTAAAATATAGTATTGTAATTTTACAAACCATTTTGATCAGGTAAGCTTTGAAAATTACAATACTTTTCTTAAAATATACTGTATATTTAGTGTATTTGTATGAACTAAATTAAAATAATTGATATAAAAAATCGTTTTATTTACTTTTTAAACATAAAACACGGTGTAGAACCGGAAAATGCGAAAACCGCATTTTCAATGGTCATTAATCCAGTATCGGCAATTAGTCGAACGAATAAAGCGACGAATAAAAAACAGCTAAACCTGCCAAACAAACGCAGCGAAAAAGTTAATTCGATAATCGTATCGCTGATGCGACAAATTGAGTTAGTGTAGTGTGTATGCAAAAAGTATAGCATACATTTACGGAGGCGATTGTCAACAGATGGTGCGTTTTTCTATTCCATTTCAGGCATTAGCACCCTACTTTAGAGCGCAGCCAAAGTCAAAGTGCCAGTTGCCAGTGAATTAGTTTTATTGCCGCAGGAGCGTAACGGCATTTTTTCGCTTCAACTCTCAAAAAATACCATAATTTCATGTCTTACATTAAAAAATCAGACAAAAATATAAACCGTTTTATTTTGACATTTCTTACGACTTCCATTGAAGACCGCGTAAATTTACTTATAACTATAAAAATATAAGGGGCATATTTTGGGTACGGTTCTGATATTATGGACAGGGTTTAACTGGTAAGCCGTCCTATATCATTTACTGTAATCGTCTATGATCTGGCACTATTTTAAATGTTACCATGTTTGCCCCATTTGCATTAAAATAGAATGTATTATGGATTTTGCATTTAAGAGTTTTATTTATTACCACTGTTACTTATTTGGGGTTAATGTATGAATAATAAATTGTTTTATCTACAGGGTCTAACATAACGGTTGGCACAAAATTAAACAGCGGATTTAAAAAATAAAACAGTAACCAGAACAATTATTATAAAATTTTTTATAAACCTCACGGATTACCTCAACAAATTTGCTTTAAAGCAATAATTACTTTTGTAAAAACAGTTTTTGCAAATCAATATATAAGCCGGTTAAATTGGTGGCATTTTTTTTCTAATTAAAATGGTGAAAACAGAAAAAAAAATAAACTTCGGGATAACAAAATATTCACAAAAATTAAAAAAAAATGGGACACCCTGGATATTTTAACATATTTTTAACTTGGAACGAAAAATATAATATAAGTATTTCAACCACCATCAGAAAGTTCAATTGATCGTTTATTATAGGTTAATAAAAAAAATTACAAAATTTTCAAAATTCCCAAAATTTCTAAAACCTTTCAAAATTTTAAGGGGTTTCAAAATTTCCAGAATTTGAAATTTTTGGAAATTATATAACTTTTTGGAAATTTTAAAAATGTTTGCTAACAAGGTATACCTATATATACCTACCTTATAATAATATTATATGTATATAACGTTTTGATTAATTTTGGATCTATAATTCTACTCTCCAATCATGAATTAGTCAAAAATGACTAAAATGAGTATGTAAAATTGTCCCCTGAATCCGAAAATACCGTCAAAAATTATAAAAGTGGAGCAGTTTTTGAGGTATAGTCAATTACGTATTAAATGGAAAATTGAATATATCTCAAAAACTGTTCTACTTTTTTAACCTTTGACGATGGATTCAGGGGACAATTTTACATAAGAAGTGGCTGTTAAATTTTGGGATACCATGGTTAACCATGGTAAAAGTGAAAAAGCAGCCACTAATAACTATTAAATTAAAACGATTTAAAAGGTAAAAAAGGGAAAATTGGGAAAAACCTGTTTTTTCGTTTTTTTTTCCTGGGTCTTGGAAAAATTGTCATTTTTGGGAAAAATTTAATTTTTGTTATTTTTTAATAAATGCTGTATATTTACTTGAAAGGCTGTTCATAACTTTTTTAAATCAAATTTTTTTTCAGAAAAAATAAATTTTTTCCCCACCATGCACCAAACGTTCTTTTTAAGTTTTTTTCGAGCATATAAAACACTACTTACTGACTACTACTAGCATTTTAAACGACAAAATTTGGAATATTTTTTCAGTATTATTCCTATTATATTTTTGTATACCTATGTATACTAAGGTGATTCAAAAAATCTACCATTCTTTTTTTTTGACTTATGATATCGAAAAAGGGGTTGCTGGGATCTGAAAAGCAGCCCATCTAGGTACGTAAATAAAAAAAAATCAAAATTTTATAAATCAGAGTTTTGAAATACCTAGTACAAATACAAAAATATATTTTTGTTGGAAATTAACTGATCGACAGAAATGGTGTCTTAAGTTTTTTGATAAATGGTTGCAACCATAAATACATGTTTTTCTGTTAATATTTTTGGATATTTCTGAGAAATCTTACAAAAAATAATAGTTGTACAAACATAACCTCAAACATATTTAGATTTGACGACTGCATTTTGAAATAGTAAACGACAAAATATATCTAAGAATTCATGGCAACATATTATATTTAATATATTATATTATATTATAATACCCGTTTTTGTTTTTTTACCGTTGAGTGGAGATTTTCACAATCAACGCTTTTAATGATGCATAATGCTGTTTGAATACGATAAATCCGGCTTTATTCTCAAAAACACTCCTTTGTAACATACGCGTTTGACAGATAAATATTGAAACTTGTAGTTTGGTTACAATGATAATGGCCACGAGGTGGCGCTACTAGCGATGCTTCTTTAGCGTATACGGAAAAAATGCAAAAGTCAATTTTTGGGAATAATAAAGATATGGTTGGTATTAGCTTAAAAATCTCGGAAAAATTAAAGAATCATGTAAGAAAACTTTATAAACCACCTGCTACTCTCCCCGCTCATCAAACAATTAATCCACCATAAAAACTTTCCCGTTCTCTTTTAACAACACAGAGAGACCTAATTATCGCAAAGTGTGTGCTTGATCCGGGCACTTTGCAAATATAAACGGGGTTAACTGCAAATAAAGCCGCATCCATGAATAAATAAAGTTTTGTGCGGGGGCCCCGCTTGCACCGCCGCGGCGGGACATTTACTAAATGGACTGGATTATGGCCGTGTCACCCCAACGGAGATATCCACCGAGTATAACCTGCTACTACGCTAATGCACTACAGTGAATGTGCTAAAGCATGCGGACTGTGGACCAAATCAATTAAGTTAATGGTTTTATTATTCATTAAGTTTTCAATTGACACTTTATTATTTATATATAAATAATAAAGTGTCAATTGTTATATAGTTAAAAACACGAAATAATAAGATCTTTTGCAACATTTTTGTACATATTTAGTTTTTAGTCCGGAAATAACATTAAAATATTTCGGGGGGTGAATCTACACGTCAAAATTATTTATAATAAATACAGACAATTTCTTGTAAATCAATTTTATTTACTAATAATATATTCTGAAATTTAATTTATTTTTAATAAAAAAAAATTATTTATTTGGGTGGAATTTATTTGTTATTAATATACCTACTAAATTTGTGTCAAATAAAATCATTTATTAATGTAATGTAAATATACATTATATTCGTATTTAGTTCACAGTATTAATAATAAATATTGCTTTATTATTAATAGTTGCCAAATTTTAATTTTGTAAATAATACCTAATTATTATAAATAAGGCACATTTTCTAACTATTAAATATATGTTGTTTGTAAGAAATATGATATATTAATAATTAACAAATGGAATATTGTAACGCGTCGTTTTACCTCGGACCATTCCCTCCACTTTAAAATGCCACGTATTGGGTGGTTTACATTTTTGCTGATAAGGGTGGTGCTGGTTTCTGCTCTGTTTGTGCTTTTGCATTATTTTTCATGTAATAAGGAAAATTGGATTGCGTATAAACTGTGGCAGTGATTGTGTAAGTACATAATATTATTTTTCTATGGTGTTGATTGCTAACAAAAAATAGGTCCTTAAACATGGATGTTGACATGGACATAATAAATTCTAAACTGTTAAACGGTTTTGAAGATCTGGCTAATACTTGTAAAGGTAAGTTTATGAGTTATTAAAAAGAATAATAATTGATGTTAATTTTTTGTTTAGGAAATTTCTTGTAAAAATTTCTTTCATTTAAGTTCCCAATTTCCAACAAATACTTTTGTTACTGGGTTACAATTCTTATGTAAAATGTCCCCTAAATCCGAAAATACCGTCAAAAATTATGAAAGTAAAGCAGTTTTTGAGATATAGTCAATTTCAAATTATATGGAAAATTGACTATATCTCAAAAACTGTTATAACTTTTATAACTTTTTTGAGTTCTGGGGATAATTTTACATAAAAATTGACTGCTAAATGTTCGGGATACAAATTGCTATTGACGAGAATCCTTAATGGCTGCTTTTTCGCTATGACAATTAGTCATTTTTGACTAATTCATTTTTAGATAGTACATGAAATGCGTATTGGCCATCTCTTGGAAAGTGTAATTTATAATTCTTGTAAATGGACTAAAAACTGTTTAAGTCCTATATAGAAACAGTTCGAAAGTGAAGAGGGCGTTTTATGGTACCTACTCCACCCGAAATTGGGTAGAAAAAATAAATAAAAATGAATTGACTTAAAACTTAGATTTTTCTTACCTTCAAGCGCTTTGTTTCTGGCCAAAAGCGCCAATAGAACTTCAGAGTTGGGCGACCCGTCTATGTTATGAGGTGGCAACAGTGGCTGAGATCCTGGCGGCATGCTTTGCATATGTGGTAAAGTCCTTGCTTGGTCCAAAATGGACATTATAGAGCACAAAACACTGTTCAGAGAACTACAACAAAAAACACAACTGTAGTAGAATCTCCGCACTATTTGTTAATCAGTTTATTTTTCCTACAAATAGACAACATTTTACCTATTTTACTAACCTAATGATCTTATCGAGTTATAGAGAGTGTAGTACGCAACATTACGCACTAAACCAAAAAGTGGGGTCTCAATTGCATATCTATAAAAATTAAATCTTTTATCGATAATTTTATCGCCAAATATCTTAAGTAAATTAGCCTTGATTTGAAGAGAGCATTTGCCTAAGATTAGAGAATGCGTTTCTTTAACCGCGTTTTATTGTTTTATAATTATTTGCTGCAAACAATTTCGGAAGTTTTATTATTTGTTTGATTTTGTTTATAAACCCATGTTAAGCATATTGAATTAATAAGATATCAGGCAATGTTTTAGGATACTGATAACGTTGTTTTGTTTAGTTTGTAAATAGATTGAATAAATATAAAAAAGTGTATATTGGCCAAAAACTTTTTTGTCCGATTTTACTGAAGTTTACAAAATCTTCATCCATCTACTTTATTGTGTTAAAAGTTTAAGTTTTAATTAATTTCTGTGAGTAGTAATAATTTAAATATGTATTTATACGTTAAATCTTAAATCTTTATTTAGCAAAAGCTATCACAGAAGACAATTGGGCATTTTAAATGTTCGTTCAATAAATGCTTAAAGCTATTTACATTAGTGCAGTCTTTATTGGCCTAGGCAACTTAAATTAAATGAAATAATGCCATTAAGTAAGACATTTTTACAAGTATTTATTAAAGTGTTCAACATAAAAGTCTGTTACGTGTCTAGTATTATAGTTATGCATCTCTTGTATTTGTATCAATCTAGAATTTAAATAATTTGTTGATAAACCAATTATCATTTTAAATAAAAACATTAAATAATTATATGTAATAAACTGCTTTAGATTCATTAAATTAAGAGTGTCCAGCATTAAGTTTATAGGTGTATATCTATTACATTGAAGAATTATTCTCAATGCTTTGTTCTGAAGTTTTTGGAGTTTATCCAGTTCATTTTTATTAATTCCAAACAAAATGCTGGCGCAAATTAGCAAAAACTAAAATGTGGAGCAAATATAGATTTATATAATAATAATTTAACATAAATTAATACATAAGAGATTTTGTTCAGTAAGTAATTAACATGAGATTTAAAATTTAAATTATTATCTAACATAACACCAAGATACTTAATACCATCAACTCTTTCCAACGCATCACCATTTATATACATATTAACAAATTTATAAATGTGTATACTTTTTTTCAGTTTAATTACAAATGTTGCTAAGGTCCTAAACCTTAGCTACATTCATGGGCGCCGGAAGGAATTCGTCTAGGGGGGGGCCTTAAAGTTTTTTACAATTTTGATAGATGTTATTTATAATAAAATTGTACTGTAGAAGTTCACATTAAACTTAAGTCAAATAAAATATCATCTTTATATGTATATTAGGGTGTCCCAAAAAAAAGAAAATATTTTTTTTTCTTGTCTCTTGTAAAAATATGTTAGTTTATCATGCTGTAAGAGCCCTTTTAAAATATCAGCTCGATTAAAAATTTTGTAGGGGTCGCTCAAGATTTTTAAAAATTTTCAAAATCGTCAAAAATGGAATTTTTGTTTTATTTTAATTCTTTTTCTCGTCTCGATATTATTTTTTAGGTTGAAAATAATAAAAATTCTGTAAATTTCAAATCAATATTTTGATTTATAAAGGTCGCTAAAAGTTCGTTGATATTTATATTCAGAGGTCGCTCGAAAACATTCAAAATACTCTACTTTGAAAGTTAAAAACATCTTGAGCGATCTTTAGAAATTAAAATATCGATTTGAGATTATCAGAATCATTATTATTTTTAAATTAAAAAATAATATCGGTACGAGAAAAAAAATTAAAATAAAAAAAAATCCAATTTTTGACGATTTTGGTAATTTTTAAAAATCTTGAGCGACCCCTAAACATTTTTTTATGGTGCTGATCTTTTGACAGGGCTCTTAAAACATGACAAACCAACATATTTTCACAAGAGACGAGAAGAAAAAAAATATTCTTTTTTTTGGGACACCCTAATTTACCTATTTATTTATATTGGTACATATTGCAAAAAATACATCACAGTTTTTTGGTAAATATATAAATATAAAAAAATTGTATCGCCGAGGAATCTCCTCTAGTAGTACAGCCGTCTTATGTATACGCTATACAAATTATGATAAATTAAAATATAACAAAAAAATTAAATACAAACATGAGTAATATTTTAAAAATAAGTTATAACAATAACAAAAACTTAAAAAAATGTGGTTGCACTGTAGCGACTTTTTTAGGTAATACATATCGATGTTATGCTATAGCATGACATAGAGTAGTAATAACAGGATAATTATAAGCAATTTTTGTGTGTAACACGTCTTATTTTTTGTTTTGCAACACGCCTATTAGGTATTATGGTTATTTATAATATTATACAAATTATGGAGTACCGGAATTTCTGGGTATGAGTTTCCAGGGGGGGGCCCGGGCCCCCCCCTGCCCCTATGTAGCGGCGCCCATGGCTACATTGTAATTTAGCTATGGGTGCTGATTAAAAAATTAAAAAATTGGGATACCAATGATCCTATATAACTTAAAGTATTTAATTAACAAAATATATAGGTATCTATATGAATTTTTTGTCGAAAAAAAAAAAATGGTTTATTCAACAATAGCAAAAACAAGATCTAATGTCATTTTTGAAACCCAGTGGCAAACAAAAAATTTGATTTTGTCGCCTAGTGTTATCTATGATTTACCCATTGAGTACAGTTTTAAGTGGCTTTGTTTTATTTGCTAGACAGATTCTAAATAGATTAAATTCTAAAAATGTAATTTTGCGAAATTTTATAAAAACGATAAATTATCAAGGTAGATGATCTATAAATTGATATATTACATAAAAAAATTTATCAACGATTCTACGTGCAAAATATTTTTGTTTTTATATAGTTTTTTATATTTTAACATTTTTTTAAATTAAATATGGTGTCCCGAAAATGGTGCACTATCGCTGTATTTTAAGTAAAAAAATATTATAAACAAATTTTCAGACGAATAGTTTTTGAGTTTAACTTTTTTTATTTATAGTTTTAAGAATATTTATTTATATAAATTTAAAAGTATCTTAGTTACTTTAGAGTAACTTGGTTCCTTTATTTTTTTTAACAAAAAGTATCTAGTATCTTAGATACTTTTTAAAAGGAACTGTATCTTTTAACTTAAAAAAAGTATCTTAGATACCGAAAATTATCTTAGATATCAAAAAGTAACTTAGATTTTGTAAACTATTTTAATTTGTTAAAAGAACATTTATATTTTAACATTCATGAATGGTTCTTTTTACTCCAAGTAAACATTATTTGTATTGAGTGTGCAAAAACTGTTGATTTAACCATGTATTGGTTAATTTAACCATTTTTTCCTTTCAATGTAAAAATATGGCGTTTTTTGCTCCAAAAATATAGTAGGCTGGTTCAAAAAAATCAACTATTTTTTTTTCTGAAATTTCGCACTGAAATATGTTCACGGTACCAAAAAAAGACACTTGTAAAAACTGGAGCTCTTAATTTTAATATTTAGAGGTCGCGCATCGAAAATTTCTATTTCCCATTTAAATAACATGGGAAATTTTGTTATGTTTCTTTATAATTTTCTAGCTCACAAACTAATTAGCAGATTTTTATGCGCGTGTGGGAAATTGAACGCTCTACAAAAAATGTCTCCTATCATTTTTCGATAAACCAACGAGTTCATAATTGCATTTTTTACTTCAATTTTAGGCAAATTCCTAGTTAGTTATTATCAAATATAAAAAAAATCATTCAAAAAATCAAAATTATTATTATTAAAAATTTAAAAAAAAACCATTCAACAAATAAAAATTACTATGTTCAATAAGCACTGACAAGCACCTACATTTTTAAGAATTGATTAAATTTTTTTTTTGATCGATTAAAATCCTTTTTAATGAATTCTTTCCAGAAATAGTAGGTGTTTCAGTGGAATTAATTTAAAAGGTTTATTGAACATGGTAATTTTGATTTTTGAAAATTGAATTAAAAAATGCAATTATGACATAAATTTAACTTCGACTGAATATCTTTTGACCTCGTTGGTTTATCGAAAAATGATAGGAGACATTTTTTGTAGAGCGTTCAATTTCCCACAAGAATATATATCGCGCATAAAAATCTGCTAATTAGTTTGTGAGCTAGAAAATTATAAAGAAACAAAACAAAATTTCCCATGTTATTTAAATGGGAAATAGAAATTTTCGATGCGCGACCTCTAATTTTTATATTTAGAGGCTCTAAATATAAAAATTTAGAGCTCCGATTTTCACAGTTGTCTTTTTTGGGTACCGTGAAAAAATTTCAGTGCAAAATTTTAGAAGAAAAAAATAGTTGATTTTTTTGAACCAGCCTAAAATACAGTTTATCAAGATGTACAATTGAATCAAATCAATAAATAATAATAAACAATATTTACCTAAACGATAAAAAAGTATACCTAAAATCCCTTGTTAGTATACTATAGGTAAATTAAGTTAATCACAAATCAGAGAGTGCGCTCCATAACCGATGACCGTTAAGTCTATATCACAGATTGAGTCGGTGAACGTCTCGCGCCAATGCGAGCCAACGCAAGTAAATTTCCATTAAATCACTGTTCGTTAAAAGACCGTAAAGGCGGCCGCGTCCGTATGTCGCGCGTACGATATATTTCTCAATTTGCGCCAACTTGGATTAATTCGGCTGAGTGGCGAACTTTCGCAGACCCGACGCTAGTCACTGACAAAAGAAGGACGGGGACGTCGGCTTTCGTGCCCGGTGCGTCGTCGTCTTGTGCCGCCGCCGCCGGACCCGCCGCCGCCATCATTGAACGCGGCGACGGCGTGACGTCACGCGGCGGAGGGCGTCGGCGCCGAAGAGGACACTCCCTCTGGTCGTTGTCTTTCTTCCTTCAAGGGACGACAGGCGATTTTATGGTTTGTAGGCATAGTAGGCGATTTGGACAATATGGTTCGGAAAATGTGTTTCAAGAAAATTTATAGTTTTTTTATTTTTCTATAAATTACATTA